TAATTATTCAACCATTAAAAATATTCAAGCTATACCAACGGACAAGCAACTCACCTTGAGCGTGATCTGGAACGGGATCTGGACTTGGACTTTGATCTTTCTGATCCAGAGCGAGACTTTGAACGAGATCCAGACTTGGAGCGTGACTTGGACTTTGAGCGCCTCTTCTTACTGTGGCCTCCACTCCTGCAACAAACAAACAACAGCACAATTAAATGAGCTCTTAAATTTTTCTTATTGCTGATTCAGAAAATGAAAAGAGAAAACAAAATAAAAAACTAATGTGTGAAAAAGGTAAGCTAAAGAGGCATACAGATTAACTGAAGGTTAATAAACTCAAACTGAATACATGAAAGCAGCAGAAAACACTTTCAACATTTTTCTTATCTGCATTATTTTCTAATATGCTTCAAAGAACCATGAATGCCCATTGTCATATATAGTGTAGGGGCCGTACTTTATTGGAAATTATTTCTTCGCTATAAGTCATACATTTATTTTCAATGTACAAATTTTCTGATACAATTTATAGTTTAATTAATTTTCACATTTCATTTATTTTTATTTTTTTCTTGTGTTTTATAAATTTGTTTGATCTTTGGTATTATAAAAAAATAATAAATAATAATAATAATGAATAAATAAATCAATAAATAAATCCAATTCAAGGTAAGACTTCTCTCTTCCCTTTTCCTTTGGGGGGGTGTAACTTTAATCTCTTATATGAGTGGTCTTGGTTGCATATTACACAAGTGCAAAAAAGCAAAAACAATTTTTCTCCAACAAAATATATGAGCAAAATGTAATATATCTAGTATGCATCCACTCAGCGGTAAAAAGCAAATTTAATACAATTTGAAATAATAAGTAAAAATATTACTCAAATATTTAAAATCAAAACTATAGATAATACTTCATACTCCAGTTAAGAGACAAAAACACTGCAACACACAGTAGATTCTATAACTGCGACACCATGTAATTCAGAACAAAGAATACGCACCTTGATCGTGACCGACTGCGGGAACGGGAGTGGGAACGCGACCTGCTGGCAGAAGAGTTCATACTGACATACAATGCGTACTACTATTTCTACGCAAAAGCAAACAGGAAATGCTCATCATCATACTTCACACCACAAGAGCCAATTCCAAAACTATGATCTCACACAAAAATAAAATTATTCACACACTTTCATTTCCCACACAGTGGTGGCTGATGGATTAGATTTACACATTTCATTACTCTTCTCTTTAAGATGCAAACTTAAAACGAGTGTTATGGACTAATGAAGGAATGGACATTGTTCCATTATCAACATATGTCTTACCTCGAGCGAGAACGAGACCTAGATCGAGATCTAGACCTAGATGATGACCTAGACCTTGACCTACGCGAGCGCCGGGAACTCCTTGATTTGGATTCATCCACCAGACGGATTCGACGTCCATGAAGCTCCTTTCCATCTAATCTATGCAGGGCATTTTTCATGTCTGCATAAGTGGCAAATTCTACCACCCTGCTTGCAAATAGAAACCAAACAAAAATATATTAGAAGATGAGTAAAGTAACAATCAAGTTATATATTTGAAATTTATGAATATCCTGAGAATCATAAGACATAAAAAAAAGAAACCTGTGCAAAATTTCTTCCAGCATATTTATCTTGCATGTGTAATTCAATAAAAATAGGTGCTCTATTAGGCTAATACTTACCCTTCATTTCGCCTGTATTTATGAGCATCTGCATATGTGACTTCTCCAGCCTGACGCATAAAATCCTTGAGATCCTGCAGAGGAACCACAAGCATTATCTCTTATGCTCTTCCACATTGTGAGTTATGATAGCAACATTTGTGTGGCAATGTTTCCACAACCACCTTCCCCCCGAGCTGGACCAGGTCCCCTCAGGAGGCCTCTAGGAATAGCGACTTGTAAGAGAACATCCTAACATTCAGTAATGGGCACCATTACCTTCAAGCCTCCAGCTCCCTTGGGAGGAAACTGTTGGTCACTTATGAAGAATATTAATCTATATTTGCCCATATCATCCAATCAAGAATCAATTAAGCTAAGGAAAAAGTTAAATACACTGACACATGTAAGCCATGACAAAAGACAATCTGGCAGAAACTTACTGAGAAATGCAATAACACAAACTATGTAAAGGAAGCTATACATTACACGTATCAGGCGTCTTACTGTTGTATCTTAATAAATATGGGCTTCACATGTCTCGTATACCTCTGGGTCAAAAAGTGTTGACCTGACAGAGCCTTTCAGACTTGACCTCAGCGGGTCCCTGCAGCGTGCAAACCCAGCCAGCCAGTCAGGATAAGGTGACCGAAAGCCTGGGACGGAAGCCCCACTCCACGCCTAGCACGGACCCTGCAAGTGGTCTGTGGGGGGGATGGGGGGCAGGGCAGCAGATGTCACCGCTCCAGCCCAACAGGGTGTCCTCACACCCACGAAACGCAGCAGGGAAAATGTGTCCCACGTCCTCGTCCCCCACTTTCGTCCATACGTTCCACCTGGGCCCATGGTCTGCCCGCGCCAGGTGGTACCCTCGCCTTGCAAGACGTAACCCCACGCCTCGCCAGAACGACCGGCCCAATACGATGCTCCTTCGTCCTTCTCGCGCGAACCTTGCGCGTCCCTCCTCTCCCATGCCTCAAGCTATCTCTCCTGCCCTCTCTTACGGTGTCTTCAAAAAGACATCGGCAGAGAGTTAGGGTCTGTTTTAACAATGAAACAGCAACTCTTGCTACTTGCTATACTGTCATATACCATCAACTCAAGATGATAATCCATGAACTTGGTAATACTTCTTAAAACATTCCCTAAACCCACCAAAAATAAAAAAGTGATTTAAGATTCCACCACTGAGAGCCAGACCGCTTGCTGAGTCATACTTACCTATCCCTACTGTATGCCTAGGTTTAACTAGACACTTCCCACCCATATGCTTTCCCTTTACTGATGCAGTATTCATTCACTGCACCATCTGGGAGACAATTCATACATTCATATATATATAAATATATAAACGCATTTATGTGGTCTGCCCCACTTAATGTACCATGAATGACTATCAGCATATGAAAGCTATACCCATAAAAAATAAAATCAAATAAAATTAATCCCCCTAGTAATAAAATGCAATAATGACAAAAATGTTAAGTGCAAAGATTCCCACATAATGCTGACCTCCATCCTAAAGAAATAGCTTTATCAAATCATCTACACCTACATTTACCAAGCACATGGTATTAAGTCAATCTCATCTTTAAGCTTTGATGTTAAGTAACCTACAGAGGGCAGAAAAGTCACATAATACCATCACCAATATAAAAAAAATAGGATGTTAGTGCAATATAACTTTGGAAAAGTCGGGCAGGTGGATATATCAACTCAATTAAATGAAAACATCTCTTTGAAAAAAATATAAAAAATAAATATAATAAAAAGAAAGAAAAAATTAAAAAATAGAATAAAATTATCTAAGCTTTATCAAAGTCATTAACATATCTCAAGACAGTTTGAACTATCTATCTCTAAGACACTGATCTGATAGGGAAAGGCTCTTACCTGCCAAGACACTCTGCTTGAGAGGTTCTCCACAGTGAGGCGGTAATCTGTGCGAGCCGGCATGCCAAATCTGCTGAAATGAAAACAGGGATGGGCATGCATTATGGGCTCCAACTTCATACGTGTATCCTGAAGTCCTTATGAGCCTCAAGAGAAATTTCAGACTGAACCCAATGCTTGATCCTTCTACCATTCGAAGCTAAATTTGTTCTTGTGCCACACACATCCTCATTCAAGAAATAGTACTAACATGCATAAATTGTACCAACACCATATATTCATCCTTTTCAATACCCTGCAAGTGACATTACTTTCAACTTTATTTCTCTCCATTAAACAGAGCAAACCAATCCTAAATGCAGTCATAAATCTCTATTAATGAACTTCTGGATATTCTTTTTCATTCAACAAGGATACTTATTTGTCATTTTAATGTGGGGGGGAAAACAAGAAGGAAATCATTCACACCTCTGCCCATCCCTGTACAGGATATCATTAGTAAATAAAATATATTAATTTTAAAAAATAGAAAAATACCACTATACACCATGTGGAAATACCTCATATCTGCATACAAATGACCATACACTGACTTGCTACAGCTGAGTGTATATACTTGCCTTGAATGGAACCCTCTTGGTGGAGGTGCTCTTGGCCACCTCATACGTGGAGCAGCACGTGCCTTCTCTACAGTTACTCTAAGATAAAATATGTCATTTTACTAATCAGATTATGAATAAAGTTGAAACATATACAATAGAAAAATAATTGTCCTTGAAGTTAATTACATCTATTTTTGAGAAATTATATTAGGATTTTAAATCAGATTTCACCAAGATTTGAATAACTGAAGAAATTCTACTTTGCTCTATTAAAACACATTCCTATACTGACCTTCCTCCTAGGAGCTCTTTGCCATTCATCTCATAAACAGCATCATCAGCATCTCTGTCATCATCAAATTCCTACGGAGAGCATAAAAAAAGTGAGAGAATCTTAATCACAAATGATGCAAAAGCAATTCTTTGCCTATGCATTTATATCTACACCTATTTTCATTATAACAATACATCAAGTATTACTTGTTTATATTCTTACCACAAAGCCAAATCCATTCTTGATAACAATATCTCTTAGTCTTCCGTATGACCTGAAGAATCTGTCTAAATCCCGTTCACCCACACGGTAGCTTAGGCCACCCACATACACACGTGTTCCAACCATTTTTATCTGGAAGAGAAAGAATACAGGCCAGTTAAATATCTTATTATATAAAAAAAAATACTTTTTACATTGACAACTATTTTCATAAGTTTCTTAAAACATTATTTAATATTGATAATGCATGCAATATCTTTTTTATTAACTTTGAATGAGTAAACCATACCCCATACCCCATACCCCGGAGCAAATTCCTATTACTAGTTTTCATTTCAATAGGCACGGCATGATACTACTGAAGATCGGGAGCACTGATTGGACTTAGGTTATGAGCAGCACTTTCTGCTCTATTTTTATATTATTTGTGGTATTACCATTCATGTCTGCTGATTATTTCTTATACCAATAACTGCATCTTATTCTCTTCATGAATATCATGTTCAATATGTCCTAGCCTAACGCATACATACTGTAAAGATTAACCTAAATGTTATATAAACACCTGGAGTGGCTCATCAGATTGCTGTCGGCTACTCGCCTTTAGTGCTCTGGCAAGGTCGATAAATCTCATCAATGCGTGTTCTGGCAAAAAAGAGCTGAAGACTGGATGTTTATTTTAAAAGACTGCCAGAATATCTACAAACTATTTGGTATTAACAAAACAGATTGTTAGAATTTTGGTATCATTGGATTGCTCTCATACTCTAGTTTCCAATATCTATATAGATATTATTACGTGCAAGTCCCCCAAACCCCCACATTCTTGGCCCCAACAGCAGGAGAGGGTATGAAAGGTATCTGGAAAATTGTGGGGTAAAATATGAATAATATACACAGAATCAGGCTGTTCCTTCTTCAAACCCCCCCATAGGGCCAGCAGCACCCCAACCCCCACCCAGAAAAACAAAGAATCCTCCACACTGCCAAGTCTGTCTGACACTCTCTCCTGCCCTGAATAAGTGGAGGATTCTGTTTTCCTGGGCGGGGGTTGGGGGTCGGCAGCCCCTGCAACAGACAATATTGATTGATTGATTCTGTGTAGATTATTCATATTTTACCCTGCAATTTCCCTTATACCTTTCATGCCCTCCCCTGCTATTGGGGCCAAGCTTGTCGAATATGGGGTTGGGGGGAGGTTTCTGCATAATAAAACCTATATATTTACATTGTCAACAGTGAGCAGAACTGTACAATACTAAAATTTTTGCAATCTGTTATGCTGTCATATTAGAAAAATTAACTCTTATTTTGTCAGAATATACACGTTGGAAGTGTGTTGGGCTACTTTTTTCTGATAGTTTTGCATAATGGATCATGATAATTTTGGTATCCTTGGATTCGTCTCACTGTTTAGTTTCCAAATACAGAGAAATTAAGTATGCGGAAACCCCCCAACCTCCACATTCTTGGCCCTGATAGCAGGGGAGGGCATGAAAGGTACCTGGGAAATTACGGGGCAAGATGTAAATAATATACTCAGAATCAGTCTCTATCGATCCCACCCATGGGGCGTAGCCCCCTGTATCAGACAATATAATGACCAATTGTGTGTACAATATCTATATTTTGCCCCGTAATTTCCCTGGTACCTTTCATGCCCTCCCTTGCTATCAGGGCCAAGAATGGGGGGATGGTTGAAGAGGGGGGGCTTCCATGCAATAAAACCTACATATTTTTATCATGACGGTGAGAGGAATCCCAAAATGCCAAAATCGTAATGATCCGTTTAGCAGATGTATTAGAAAAAATGACTGTTGGTCTTTGCTTGAATATAAAAGGCACATACTTCATGGCAGCCACTGCTGGTATCATATTAATAAGATTTCAGGGTATCCATCATGGAATAAGAAGTTTTGTATGAAGTTAAATAGGATATGTATTCACAGTGGAGGAAAAAATTCATCACATCCTGCAATTGAGGTGTGTCTAACATTTCTCACGCTGATATCTGCTAGATTATCTAGAGCTACATTTGCTACCCAATCATATCTGATTTACAAACTCAGCACACCTACTGATGATCAAATATTTGTTATTTCAAACAGAATCATGTTAAAAAAAACAACTGATAAAATGTTTCCAAATTTACCTAAATTTCACCTAAACCACCTAAGAAAATTACAAACCAAGAATAATACCTAGCTAGCAAAAAGACTCACCTTGGGATGAGATGAATAGCTAGTCAGACATCCAATAAAGTTGGAAACACTGAATTATACATGGTTGAACCTTGGCTTGGCATAATCAATACTTACATTCCACACTAGTAACTCATATTAAATCTCTAAGTGAAGTGCTTCATATATTTAAACAGTTCATCTCATAAAACAGTCGCTCAAAGAACTGTTATTTATAGTATCATGATGAAATGCTCTTTTACGGAAGGGTGCAAGTTCTAATTAGTGTGAAGTATGTGAAGATGGCAACATGGCGAGTCCTTAGAGCCGCCCCCCTCCCCCTTGCCACCTCCCTTCTTCTCCCCTTTTCACTCCCTCTCCTCTGTCCTCCTTCCCTTTCCCTTAATCTCCATTCCTTCCCCATTGCGTCATCACCCAGATTTATAGTAATGCTCAAGAAAAAATGCTTCATTAGCCCCCTACCTCACATGTGGAGTCGAAGGTAAGAATCTGCCGTCGCCGTCCCTCTTGCGTGGCGAGTGTGTGGATGTGGTGGGTGGCGCAGTCAGGGAGAAGGAGGGGTGGGGGAGGGAGGGGGAGTGGGAAAGAGGACGGGAAGCGGGGGGCTTGGGGG